TAAATTAAGAACTTTAAAAAATATAACAATATTTATAATACATTTTTTTACTTACTATACCTTGAATAAGATATTTATCAATTTTGAAAAACAAACTATTAAATGGTATAGTTCTTGAAAATGCAGCATATAGTTGACCATGAGAGAAACACGGTTTTTGAGATATTTCTTTTGTCTATGTTTAATTTCGCGTTACGTAATATATAGACGATCCCTAAGACAAATACTTAGAGACGATCCCTAAGAGAAACTAAAAAGATTTTATTTATTACAATATTTAAACAACCAAGGGACAATTTAAAGAATATCTTTAAATAGCAAATTATCAATTGCAGTATTAAAAAATACGCAAGAGCTCAGTAATTACATGAGTTTAATCAATTCTCTCTCTACAATTTTCAATACTAATTTTTATCTCATCTAAGAAAGAGAGGAAGTCTTTCAAAAACAGCATGTTAGAAAAAGTAAAAAAGTCGTGCAATAAATAAAAGTAACTGGTTTTATTATGCTACCAATAAACAAAATTAGTTTTACCTTGACTAAAAGTTAATTTCCAGCATTTCTTAATTAAGTTCCAGCTTCTCTATAACTGTTGACAAATGATTAATATTGTAAATTTCACATTATATTAAATTTACAAAATTAAAACCATGTTACAACAGTAAGAAAAATAATCAAGTGATGACAAAGACAACTAAAAAAAAATGAACGCAATTATGTTTAAGATAACAAAACAAAAAAACAAAAAATCATTTAAAATTGAAACTGTTATTATTTGTTACTATAAATAGTAAAATTCATACTTTGCTTTATTTTAAAGTGTCTAATGTTAAGTCAAATAATAGACATCAACACCACTTGACACTGAATTCTGTCAAGTAAGTTTTCGGTTCATCAAGCAAAATTTCTTATATTTCAACGACAATTAATTTTATCACGCCTAGATCTATTTCTTTCATATGACAACAATTTCAAGTCACCTATAACCATTTACACTAATAACTTCTTCGAGCCTAATATTATAAATCTGTTATCATTAAATATATACTACCAGTGGTTATGCTACTGTTACAACTGAATAAATGAACGTTTTATACTTTTACAACTGAAAAATATAAAACAAAATTTATTTACATTATTTTAATTTAGCAAAGAATTTAGAACACAGTGCAAAGTTATTTGCATTGTGTTCTAAATTCTTTGCTAAATTAAGAAAGCCTTCAGGCACAATTTTAATGGACAAAAATAATAAATGCAGAATCTTGTATAAAAAATGAAGCAATGTCAGTCTAAAGTAATATATATGTATGTATATATATTCAAATTTTTTCTATTCTTAATTTTTTCTTTGAGATAATATTCATATAGATTCATAGAAATATAAAATATTCCGATATATAGGCACATTTATGTATATAAACTTACCTGTCAAAAATTACAGTCAGTTTTTCATGTTAAATACATAAAATATATATCTAATATAAAATTAAACAAAAAAACTAAACTTACTCAAATCAGTAACAGTTCGACTGTCTAAATATTTTTATTATTAACCCTTCTATTTAAAAAAAAAAAAACAAATGATTTGAAGTAACTAAAAAGCACTTTAGCTCTTTCCAATTGCACTAAAAAATAAAATAAATCTTGCTTGCTAAGTTGCCTAATTCTTAAGAATCTGATAACAAATAAGTAAAAAACCAAGAACAAACAAACATTTATTTACTAAAACTACTCTATTTAAACAAATTAAATTATACAGAGAACAACATTGATACTCCTTGAAAGCTGAAAAACTTTTCATCTCAAATTTGCTTATAGACCTTGCTTATGAAACCACTTGAATAAGAAAAGCATCAAAAAAGCCTAAAAGCTGGTATATGCTACATTGAACTTTAAATGTTGATTGGTGTAGATATTTTTAAAAAATTCAAAATGATTTGTTCTTCTATAGCAAATAAATACACCATAAATCTGAAGTTAAAAATGTAATGAATAAGTAAATACAAAGAAAAACATCATATGTGAATTAAAAATCAATGTACCTGATAGAGATAAGCTGCGGTGATACCTGAGTAGTATCACCACATACACGTATTTATCAAAAAAATTTTAACTTTGATCATAATATAAATGCAAACATATATGCAAACTTTTAACAACTATAAAAGAACATTTATTAGCATCAATTATTTTTAATGTAACAAAGAATGCAGACTACAATGCACGACATTGTTAATAAAAATGAAGTTATGTCAGTCAGTATATATTTATCTAAAGTAGTGAAAAATAAACCATTTAAAAACAAAATTAAAAATTTCTAATGAATATATATTTAGATACCTTAAAATGAAGCATAACACAACACTCTTTTGACAAATTCCAGAGCAAACTTTTAAAATTTTTCTATTCCTTATTATATTATTCCTTATATCGATAAAATAAATATTAAATGCCACATTCAACTAATGTAATTAATACCTTTATTAGATCTCTCTTGATTAACTAAAGAATTTAAATTTTAAATAAACTCTAACTAAATTTTAACAAACAAACAACCAAAATAAATCTTCATATTAATAGTACGTTATTAAGTTGATTAATAGATCAAACAATTTAATCTACTCTAATAATCTACTACCTTATTAATAAACTTTAATTTTTTTTCTACGACTCAGTGTAACTATAATATAGATATTTTTAAAGTAAAAAAGAATTTAATATTATAATATATATGATTTTAAAAACCTGAAATTTTAAATCTACCTCGAAGAAAACAGATATATATTGAAAAGTATTTTTATTTCTTTTTAAAAATTTAAAAATGCTTTATAACTTACTTGTTTTGATATTATCACCAACGTCTAAATAGAAAAACAAACAAACATTCAAGTCGACTCATCCTTAAATCTTATAATATATATGATTTAAAAAACCTGAAATTTTAAATCTACCTTGAAGAAAACAGATATATAATAAAAAGTATTTTTATTTCTTTTTAAAAATTTAAAAATGCTTTATAACTTACTTGTTTCATATTATTACCAACGTCTAAATAGAAAAACAAAGATATATGAGTTTTTTATATGATTTTAAAATATATATGATTTTAAAAACTGAAACTTTAAATCTACCTCAAAGAAAACAGATATATATTGAAAAGTATTTTTATTTCTTTTTAAAAATTTAAAAATGCTTTTTAACTTACTTGCTTCAATATTGTCACCATCTAAATAGAAAAACAAACAAACATTTAAGTCGACTCATTCTTAAATCTAGTTTAATTTCTTCAATAATAAAAAAAATTTAATCTTTGAGGATAAATTCATTTACAAAAATCCGTTTAAGTTCGTTTAAACCATTTTAACATTTGTAAAGTTAATTTACAATGTTAAGTTAAGTTAATTCTACCTCAAAGAAAACAGATATATATTGAAAAGTATTTTTATTTCCTTTTAAAAATTTAAAAAGGCTTCTAAACTTACTCCCTCCAATATAATTATATAATATATATAGTATATATGATAAATAAACCTCCACAATTTCCTTGGTTTAACAACTCGATTATGATTAATAACAACTCTGTAAACATGAATTTTCTAATAACCTAAATAAATTACAGATAGACAAACATAAACTAACACAAATAAATCCTAAACCAAAATTCATTCATGCAAGACAAATAATTTTATATTTATTGAAGAGCCAGAAACATATTTTTTTTCAAAGAGCAAAAGTATTAACAATATTAAAGACAAATTTTATTTATAACAAAATTTTCAATAAAAATTAAATTAAGATAAATTTATAACAAAATGTTGTCATGGCTTTTATCCCAATAACCAAAACTAAGTGAAAGCATGAAACTACCCATAAATATATTTTAACGCTAGACACAATTTAAGAATTAAAGTAATCTATAACACGAAGCTTTAAATTTAAAATTACAATTTAAAAAAGATTATAATAAATTAATTACTTTTAAATTTAAAAAAACTTTAGATTACCTATAATTTTAAGCTACTAAACATTATCTACTTAATGTCAGCTTAGACATTTTGAAAGGTTGAAGGGAAATCTGTAAGTAAGCACGCGGTAAAGAAAAGTCTAGAAACTACTTAAAAAGTGTATTTTACAGATACAGAACCGTACCGTAACTATAAAACAATACGCGTAACTATGCGCACTATTAATAATATTCATAGGCTATTCATTATAGGCAGATATATATATATATATATATATATATATATATATATATATATATATATATATATATATTATTATATATATATATATATTATTATATATATATATATATTATTATATATATATATATATATTATTATATATATATATATACAGTTATATATATACAATCATATTATATATATACAATCATATTATATATATACAGTTATATTATATATATACAGTTATATTATCTATATACAATTATATATATACAATATTATTTTATGTCCAATATTATCACATATATATACACACAATATTATATAACTATATTTACATATGCACACACACACACATTATTCAAGAGTTATGAGGTTGTAATAACAAAAATAGCAAATAAAAAACCCCCTTGGAGTGATGGTTACAGTGAAAATATATATTATAATAATGTAAACTATAATAAAATATTCTAATAAAAATTTATACCCAGGTGTATAATAGAAATTTATTGATTTATCTATAATACTAAAATAAATAAATCTTAGTGTTATAGATAAATCAATGAAATTCTAATATACACCCGTGTATAAATTTTTTATTACAATATTTTATTATTATTTACATTATTATAATATATATTCTAATGAAATTAGTATATTTTTATTTTTTTTAATTTTAATTTTTTGTAAATTTATACCTTTATACTAACAAAAAATAATAATTGAAGTAATTGAGATTTATTTTGTTTAGATAAATTTTAGCTATTTTAAGACTATTAAATATTAACCTCTGTCTTTATTTATTTATAGAAACATACATTTAATGACGAGTTTGTACCTTATGATGATAACCACCGACTATTCTTTATTTCAAAATCAGACGAAGCTGGTCCGTTACCAGAAAAAGTTCCTATGTTGGCGTAGCTCTCATCGATTTCAGTAAAAAACATTTAAGTTTTTGGGAGTTTTTACCTATATTTAAAATTTCGACTGTTTCAACTGTATATAGTTTTTATTATACTCATTTATTTGCATCTTGAATTTCTTTGTACATATTATTTTTAGGTGCTTTTAGATCTAACAACTGTTAGGTGCTTTGAATTAATATCTATACAACGTTGATATTTTTTGAATAATGTCGCAAAAATTAAAACTCCTTTTATGTATTTTATGGCATTCGTGAGAATTTTTCTAATTTTCACGCTAATATTTTTAGCATTATATCTTTTTGTATTTTTTTTTTTTTTAAGTAGATATTCTTATTGTTGGGATATTGTTTTTTCGAGTTATGTACTTAATAAAATAATATTTTACTGCATTTCACTTGAGGCCTGCGTTTTTAACTATTTTAATAAAGCTTGATAGGTGTCATAAATACGACATGATTTTTGTTGCCTTCACATAAACAAGTAGTATCCTATTAAACAGGTATACGAGTGTCATCGGGATGTGGACTGTTAACATTCCATATACGTTAATAGTTTTCGTTTACTCAACATGGATTAAGGCATTCCCTTGAGTCAAAAAAAATTTCAATTATAGGACTATTCTAAATACATTGAAAAGGGTTAAATTAAATCAACTTTAGGTTTAGGACTAAGGGTTTAATTAAATCAATTTTTACAACAACTGTATCAAAAAAACATAAGATATTTATAAAAGTACATGTTTTTTTTTTATAAAAAAAATCAAAACCTCAATACTTGACCAGAAAAACATAAAGTTTAAGAGTCGCTCTGCAGTGTTTTATTTCTCTCTCTCTCTTTTTTTTTCTCTCTTTTTTTTCTTTCTCTCTCTCTTTTTTTCTTTCCCTTCACTTCCCTTAGTTGTTCATGGTAAGAAAACTTACGAGTATGTTCCCAAGGGTCAAGGTGCAACACATAATACATGGATCTCACAACCGGGCTCAGGATTGGAAAAAAGGCAATGTTCCCTTCAAATTATGTTTAGGCCAGAAGGAGAGCAACTAAAGCTAGCCCTCATTTTTAGAGGTCAAGGAAAACGCATTTCAAAAGACGAAAAGTTAGCATGGCACAAAGATATTCACGTTTACTTCCAACAAAATGCTTGGTTAGACCAAAAAGTTTGTAAGCACTGGTGTGATAAAACACTCCTTCCATTTGTCAGAGAACAAAAGCTTGATAAATTTGTTCTTTTGCTGGACAATTTGAAGGGACAGATGCAGGAGGATTTTAAAGATGCTGTGGCTGCTGCTAAAGGACTTCTCTGGTACGGTCTACCAAGTGCCACTGACCTTTGGCAACCAGTTGATGCCGGATATGCTGCAACTCTGAAAAGGCTTATTGCCATTGAACATCAAAAATGGCTTGATAGAGATAATCATTCTGATAGATGGTTCAGTAATGAAATGCCCTACACTGCAAAAGAGAGACGAATTTTGATTACACATTGGGCAGGGGAAGCATGGAAAGCTTTAAACACTTCTAAGTATGACAAGCAAAGGAAGAAATGTTGGACGATGACTGGGTGTTTAATGACTTCTGATGGCTCAGAAGATTCGCTTGTTAAACCAGAGGGCCTTGATAGTTACAAAGTGCCCCCACCATCCATCATTGATCCTGGCAGTGATCAACCCAAGGGAAATCAAAGTGATATTCAACCGGTGGAGGTAGATGATGCTATAAATGAAAATGCCAACGAAATTCTTCCAGATGACACCTTTATGGGTCCGGACGAGAAGGAATGCGAAGTTCATATCTTTGATTTCATTGATAACATTTGTATATAGTATATATTTTTTATTTTTTATTATACTGTACCAAAGTCAACTTTTTATTTTTCTTATAACCTTTAGTAACGCGCGCACTTTTAGAAAGTATTGAAATAAGCATATTTTATTAGAAATATGCTTAAGTTTAAGCATATTTTTGAGCCTCTTTTAACTCTTTGCTTAAGCATACCCGAGCCTGTTTCAAAAATTTCATATGCTTATAAAAAAAAACATGTATTATAGACCGGGTGAATAATAGCTAAACAACGAGTGCTCAAGGCTTTACGCGCCACGTATAAAAATTGTTTGTTTTAATTTTTTTTGTTTAAAAATGACTGCTATTAATATAAATCAGACCCATAATAGTGCTAACCAAAAATAATAACTAATACAAAAATTATATATATATATATATATATATATATATATATATATATATATATATATATATATATATATATATATATATATATATATATATATATATATATATATATATATATATATATATATATATATATATATATATATATATATATATATATATATATATATATAATATATTTAATACACAACTTGTTTCTCTGCGCAGCGGCCTTGTTTGTGAAGGCTCGTGTTTCGGAGTTATATAATTAAGAGAGGGTTATAACTACAAACAAGCACGGCGATTTTTTTTGCCTTAAAAATTCCCATAGTTTTATTTTAAGAAATACGAAATTTGGTCCAAAACGTCTGCAATTTTTTAAGTTTTGTGAAAAGTTGCAAAAAATTACCATCTTTATCATTGAATTACGGCTATAGATATATATTTATGTATTTTATATATAATATTTATAAGTGTAAATATATATCGTGTGGTTTTTTAAAATATCTGCTCTTTAAAAGCTATATGGATATTGAAATTCAATTCATTTAAAAAACTAGTACTAAAACTAGAAATAATCAGCTGGATAGTCTAAATGATGGTTTTCCTAACTATCAATATTATATATTATATCAATAATAATATATATATATATATATATATTTTTTGGCAGAATTAAAGATGGCGGACATGCTTTTGAAATAAAAAACAATAACAACCATTATATTAATGAAATAGTATATATACGTCTTGCTATTAACGAAAAAACAACAGAGTTTGAAGAACTAGTTAATATAATTTTAAATTTTTCAAGAAAATGGTAAATGCTCAAGAGTTTAATGCCTACAAGGCTCAACAGGAACAAATTATTGGAGATCTGAAACTACAAATTGAAAAATTAATAACTGATAATATGAATTTAACAAAAAGAGTAGATGACTTAGAAATGAATAAATCAAGTACCAGTCATATAAATAACAATGTAACGTGGGCAAACATGGTAAAAAAGTCACCGGAACAAATGCTTATGATAAATTCCGTTACTAGTGAGACAAAAGAACGAGAAAGAAGAGAAAACAATGTAGTTATTTTCGGAGTTAAACCATCGGAAAACGAAGAAAAGAGTAAAGAGAAAGAAGAAAATAGACGAGCTATAATTAATGTTTTTAAAAAATTGCAAGTAATCGTTAATGTTCAAAATTTTATGAAACTAAAACGAAGAAACACCAATAATCAAGCCCCATTTGTTGTCATACTGAAAGATAAAAGAGAAAGGAATTCTATCTTAAAAAAAGCCAAAGAATTACGAGATTCGAAAGAATATGAGAATGTCTATATAAATCCCGATTTAACGGAAAGGTTTAAATCAAAGTTTTTAAGAGAAGAATGTAGAAAAAAAAACAAAGAGAACATCGAAAACGAGTTCTACTATGGAATTCGAAATGAAAAAGTAACAAAAATCAAAAAATAGCTATATGATCTAAAGGACAAAAACTCAAATCATTGTTCATATTCATATGTAAATGTATTAGGAAATGCTGTGTTTAAATTTAAGGGTGGACCAACATCAATACCTAGCCTCGAAAAATCAAGAAACAACAACCCACACAAAAATCACATCAAACTTTGGTACACCAATGCAACTTCACTTAATAATAAAATGCAACAACTTAAAGCGTACTTGTCCTGTGATAAATCAGATTTTATATTAGTAAGTGAAACATGGTTCAATGATAAATCAGTTATCAATATTGATGGGTACAACTGCTACAACAAAAACAGACCGCTTGGTGAAAATGGTGGGGGAGTAGTAATTTATGCAAAATCAACATTTATTACAACAAGTGTAAGTCATTTAGCATTATGTGACAATGGAATAGAGCAGATATGGTGTAGTTTGACCAACGGACCAGACCATTTATTAATTGGATGTATTTACAGACCGCCAAGTAGTCCAGAAAGCGTAAACACTAAAATCAATTCAGTGCTTGGAATAGCCAAAAGTCTAGTAGACCAAAAAAAATATACCGGATTAATTATAATTGGTGATTTTAATTATCCACACATAAAATGGTACAAAGATGGTGGAACAAAACTGAAACAAAACTGTGATATTAGTATAAAATTTATTGATAATTTAAATGAAAATTTTATTGAACAATGTATTTTTGGATCAACATTTCAAATATCCGACGAAGAACCTACAAACACACTTGATTTACTAATGACAGATAACTGCAAAAGGATTAGAGACGTAGAAATAGGCGCACCACTTGGACCAATTGAAAAAGCACATTATGTAATTCAATTCAAATATGACATGCAAGGTGCTGACACAATCCCTATACAATTCAATAGTAAAGATATAAATTACCAAAAAGGAGACTATGAAAAAATAAATCTTGGTTTTAATTTAATAAATTGGTATGAATTATTCAAGGATTTAAACGTGGACCATTGCTACAGTGCTTTCGTACAAAAATATAATGAGTTGATTGAATTGAATATTCCAAAGAAAAGAGCCAGGTTTGATCAAAAAGTTAAAAAAGACCCATGCATAACAATTGAAGTTAAAGCTTTTATACATAAAAAGAAAAATTTATGGAACCAATTAAGAGCTGGTAAATTTAAATATCTTAATAAATTAAATGAGTACAAAGCAGTAAAAAAATTAGTCAAAAGCAAGTTAAAAGAATCCACTATTGATTATGAGAAAAATCTTATAAATAATGCAAAAAAAAATCCGAGACTGTTCTACAAATACGCGAAAAAGAACCAAAAAAACATTGGTAAAATACAATCAATGAAAAACTATGCAAATGTACTCACATCTGACAGGCATGAGATTGTTAATATATTGAACAAAAGTTTTCAATCGGTTTTTGTTAAAGAGCATGGTGAAATTCCGGAGTTTGTACCACGTATTACAAAACCTTTTGAATGGGATTGGAAAAATGTTGTTACAAATGAGGCAGTTCAGCAAAAACTGTATTCTTTGGACGTCAACAAAGCGTGTGGTAGTGATGGTATTAGTCCTTACGTACTTAAAAATTGTTCAAGTAGTGCAGCAACTCCATTAGCTTTAATTTACCGAAAATCAATTGAAACAGGAAAAATTCCTAGCAAATGGAAAGAAGCAAATATTACTCCAATATTCAAGAATGGAAATACAAAAGACCCGCTTAACTACAGACCCGTATCATTAACATCTGTACCAGGCAAAGTTATGGAAG